TCACCATCCTGCATAAGCGATAGCCGTTCAAGTACGTCCGACTACAACTCTTCGGTTTCTGAAAGCACACTATATCGAAAAGTAGGACGAAAACGACTCCAGTTCAATGATCTTACGGAACAATCCAAAGCTAAAAGTTGTCAACGGCTAGCCCGTGATCATCCCTTAGATAAGCTGCTAAGAGCAGCAGAAACTGCTGCACGCAAACTCGAAAGCCCACGCAAACACGAAGATTTTGAAATTGTTGAGAAATGGTGGTGAGGCCTGGGCGAAGAATACGTTGAATACGTCAGAGGTGTACCAGAAGATTGAACCATCTCCCGAATCGTCTTTGATGCTGAAAACCAGACTTGGATTGAGCAAATCAAAGTATCAAGGTATTAAAATCAGTTTTTGTTTTTTTCAATTTAATTTAACAAATTTTCTAATTAAATAGTTTCTAGTATCTGTCGCACCTCAAATTGTCAGTAAATTTTAAGAGAGCTATTTATATAAATTTATTCAAGGTATCATCAAATTTATGAAACACGAATTCGGCATGAAACATCTGATATCTTGGGCGGATATGATTTCATATCGCAATTCTATCATTCCATCATTTTCTTCACCGAATTGGACAGTAGCACAATTTTTATAATGTGGCCACTTTATCGGTCAATCCAGATTATGATTCTGAACAACATAGAAAAAATCGCAAGGTTCTAGCACAATTTTCATAATGTGGCCACTTTATCGGTCAATCCAGTTTATCCGGTGAACCAGGATATGGCCACCATATTCCAAAATATGTATTCCAAGTTAAATACGCTTTGATCTCTTGATTCTGAACAACATAGAAAAAATCGCAAGGTTCTAGGACATTTTTTATAATGTGGCCACTTTATCGGTCGTTCCGGATCATCCTTTACGCCAGTAAAGTTTTCCTGAGGGCGTATATGGTGTCTTTACACCATATATACTTAGTACTATCAATTTCCAGTAATATACGTTCAGTAAAGTCTAAAATTATGTCGATAGATAGTGGCATTTCCTACATTACCGGGAACTCGGGTTGATTCCGGCCCTCTATCTCGGTACGCAAAAGTCTCTGGCCAATGAGACCACCACCAATCGATTTAGGAGAGTTTTTCCTTTGAGAATATGTAGGTATAACATGTTGACTGAAACCGTTTGGCAGCCGAGATATTCAATTTAGTCGCGGTTTTGTCATTTTTTGCCCACTGTGGGATGGTTTGAAGAGAATGAATTGGATGAACAGAATGAATGCAGTTATCCTTTGTAGTTGAAATATAAACTGTTCGAATGTTTACATATAAAAAGGCCTTTCAATAAACATCTGTTTAGTTATTCCTAGAACTCAGAACAAGAGACTAGTGTTTTTATTTTACTTACTCCGCATCGAAAGAAATCCCTTAAGTGAACAAAGTTAAACATACAATAAGCATGACAAGGAACGGTTCAATTCCTAAGTTATCAACGAAAGAGAAAGTCGATGAAGAGAATCGATCAATGTTACTTAGGACCTAACGCATTGTTCAGCTTGATACGAGAGCAGCAGCAAATCCTGAACAAAACGTTTACTAAAACTAAATCAGTTAGTTTCAATTAAATTACAGCACACTGGGGTGTTGGAGTGGCTGCATTCGCAAAGAAAAAACAGCTCGAATCGGGAAGTAATGAAACACGTGTGTACTGAACGTAGTATTTCTAATAATTCTAATACAGACTATAACAAACATAAGTATCATGGTTTATCTCTAGTTGATGAAGTTGTCGCCGCTTGTGGGGGGGGGGGGGCTCAACATGGGGAACTAATAAAATCCGATAACCTGTAATTTAATCAAATCATAACGCTTGAGAACATATGACCACTCTGCTTGGCTGCCCTCACAGCACTCCCGCTAGTTCATCTCAACATTACATACCTACCAGAAAATCACCCTAGAAAAATAATCTTGTTTGTACTTAGGCTCGAAAATCCCCGTGCTGTCAATCGACCGGTTTTCGACCCACGGTTGTCAAAATTTAACTTTTTGTCTGTCAGAAGTAACCACGCTCGGATACCAAAAGTTAAAATAATCCACCAAATGGTTCAGAGCTTTAGTTCAATGCTTTAGTTAATTTTATAAACTTCGAAAATAGGAACAAAGCATGCATTATAACCACCCCGGGAGCAACTAAACAGCTCCAGTGTAATGCTAATGTACCCCGAAAATTCTGGTACTCTGGTTCTGTCAAATCGAATAATGGTGGAGTAAATTTACAATTGGTCTTATTTTTTTATCAACTTTTTTTTCCCGTTTTTAAGTTTTTTGTTTTTTTTTAACTTTTTATAAAAACATTGATATTTTTTTCGGAAAATGTCTGTCTATTTATGTGTGTGAGAGAGCGCGTAAGACAATTTTCTTATATGTATTTCTCGGCAACCACTCTACCGAATTGAACGCAACAACAACCAAATGAAAGCTACCATGATTCTATAGAATGTTAATTAATAGACTTTCAATCGATTAACTGGTTCCGGATATATGGACGGAACAAGACCCTAAAATCCGGGAACTAAGTGATGTTTGTCGGCAACCACATAACCGAAATAAACGAAACCCTTTAATCGGGTTACTGCCCAGTGCCCACATAGAAAATAACCATAAAAAGTGCTTAAAAACCTGTGCAGGTTCCGAACTATGTGTCATATGGTATATACTTGAATTACAAGATACCAAGATACAATACAACACCAGTAATACGTCTCACTCAAAATTTATTCTTGGTTTGCTTTCGACGTCCACATGAAGTGAAAAAAAACATGTTTTCTGATGTGAAAAAAGTTGTGCCACCAACGATGGCTGATCCCATTGTTTACGTACGGTGGAGACATCTACAATTTGCAAGTGGGTACGTGAAACTAAGGTTTTCTGTCTAGATGCTCGGGGGGTGATTATAACCGATACAACTACTATTTTTTTCAACAAATTTTTTATTGCGATTTCAGTAGGAATGGCGAAAAAAGTAACTTTTCGTCGGTGAAAGCGACCACCTACAAAAAAGTGGCAAAATTACTAAAAAAAAAAAGTAACCCGCTAACAATCCCCGCCACCCTCCGAGAAGACATTCATCGATACCAGACTTGGAAAAACACCCACCGGCACTGCGAGCCGTGCAAGAATATTGCTCCCCGTTCAAAGCTAACACGCACTCGGTTTCGGTACCTCTTGTCGGCTCGCCACCGATATGAACAAGAAACCTGAACGCGGAGCCGTTTTATTCGGCTTGGTGCCGTGCTATGGTTATTCGGTGCGCTCCGTGCGGCTCCGTGCCAGGGTCCGGTGCCAGACAGAATACCGTGCTTCCATTATCGTAGTCTACCTGTTTTTTTCGTTCCTTTTCTGATTGACCTTTCCGGCGATACTGTACCTCTTTACTACTATGGGAAAACCCCACAAACAACTGTCATTCTGTGCGTGAAGCATGGCGGGCTGTTCCGTACTCTGTCGCTCAAATGAAAAATCTCAAAGGGGCTGTTCATTAACTACGTATACAGTTTTTTGGGATTCTTGACCCCCCTGAAATTTTAAAATTTGTATGGACCGAGGACAATTGCCAAACCCCCCCCCCCCCCCATGTCTACGTAGTTTATGAACAGCACCTAAGGAACTATCACACTGTGAAGAGCCAATGCCGTCAATGCGAATTAATGCAACAGCGATTTTCACCATGTAGCATTAATGCGGCAAATATAATTGCTTTAAAACCATACTTTTTTTTCCGTCACTTACAAGTTAATTGTTTTGTTCTTATTTTCACTGGCGAATACAATTTGCTTCACTATAACTGGGGCTGTTCATTAACTACGTAGACAGTTCTTTTTTGGATTCTTGACCCCCCCCTTCCCCTGCGTAGGTAATTGTCCATACAAAAATTTTAAAATTTGTATGGATCATGGATAATTACCAACCCCCCTCCCCTCTAAACTGTCTACGTAGTTTATGAACAGCCTCTTATTTAGAAAACTTTTTTTAGTTTACGCAGCGCGGCACAACATGTACCAAACATAATCGTAGACGAGAATGATGAGTGGTAAAATTAGCACCAGAGCACCAAAGAAGTTCTGTATTAACAATAGAAAAGGGCCCTTCAGCATTTGTAAACAAACCGTTCTAAAGACCTTTCTTCACTAAGTGAAGGCCACACACGCAAACCAATGCCATATCATGTAGGGGAAACTTTCCCTTATCCGATGATGGTGTTGGTTTGCGTAGGCGGCCTTTGCTGTGTTAGGAAAGGGCTTTAGAACGATTTGTTTACAAATGCTGATGGGCCCTTTTCTATGGTTGATCTAGACATTTTGCTTCACCCGGTTATTCATAATTTTCAACATTTCGAAAATGGCCAACACATCCGTATCCGAACGGACCCTGTTCCTGGCGAGAGAAATGACGGACGCAATTAAGAACGCGTTTTAAGTTTGCTTCGCACCATGGATTCTTATGTAAAGGGAAAACCTACTTGCCCATTTTTCTAAACTATTTCAGAACAAATTTCTTGAGTTTATCGAGTTTAATTATTAAACTTTGAGCTACTTGCTACCACTTCCATTGAAAAACTCAGTTTTGACAAAAAAGCAAATGATACCGAGTATAGCGCATCACCAACAACGAACGATACGAAATCATGAGCGGTTCGTTGGCTCCGTGCCGCACGGTGGCGAGCCGAAGCCCGTAGCACCGCGTTTGGGTTTCTCTTTTGGTTCGGTGGCGTGCCAACATGTTGCACCGACACCGGGTGCTTTATCGAAGAAACCCAGTGCTGTGCATACATGAGTAGGTTGCCACCGAGCCGCACCGAGCGGTGTTTTTACCAAGTCTGATCGATACAAATCGTGTACACGGCCTTCGTTTGTTTGTATGCTACGAATAGTAAACAACATACAGGATATTATTCTCTACATAATACTCACTGAATATTATATTGGATTAAGACAAAGAGTTCATGTATTCATAGTTATAAGAGTGAAGCAAATTGAAAATATTATTAAATTACATGATGACGTGATCAGTTGTAATCTTCTACTGAACTATTTCAAAATCATCCTCTTCCCTTTTCCGCTTCATACTTCCGGTTTCGGTTTCACTCGTGCCAAAAGCAAGGGGATCTTCCACCTCCGTTTTGATTTCCATACCATTCGGACCATCTCCGCCTGCGGTCGACGACTTTACAGGCTTTGTAGTCGTGGCCTTGGCTGTCGAGGTGAATTTGAAAACTGGTTTCGGAATTGTCACCACCTGAGTTTTCGGGGTTGATTGAACGGCGGGACGTTTCACGCCAGTCGCCGCAGTCGAACCAGAGGATCCCTTTCCCAAGTTTGTCTTTATGGTGGATCGGTGCTCAATGGCAGATTTGTTCATCTTTTTAGCCTGTTGTACAGCTCGAAGCTTGTAATTACATGCCGATAGGCAGTAACGATCTGGCGGCAAGCGGAGGCCACAGTGTGTTTTGATCAGCGGAAGTGGAGTATTATTGCGATTACGGGCAATCTCCAGGAGGACATCACGAGGAGGAGGACTTGTGAAAGCCTTATCTAAAATCATCTGTGTGGCCAACTTCACATCATCCAGTTCGATAACTTTCTTTCGTGCATGATTTGCGAAAACTTTTGCATCGTCCAAAATGCAGGTCACATACCCTATAAAGAAAAATACTAGGTTTAAGTACACGAGTTCAAAAGCTGGCGCTTACAAGTTAATACTCACTATAAGTAAATTCCAGCAACTGATTGATCACTCTAGGTTCATAATCGCTGATTCCGAGTTCCTTAAGAATGGACATTATCACTTGTGCATCTTTCGGGATGTGCTTTACCTGGCTTGCAATTTTCATTTTTTCGGATTTCTCACGATCTCCATGTTGCTGCGGAGGTAGCTAATAAGAAAAACATGCTGTATAATAACAGTAAATACATATTTAATTATATCTTGATCTTACATTATCCATTTTAAAACAAAAATATTTAGCATCCCAGTTTAGCACTAACTCAACACTGCCGCTAACTGAAACTTTCGAGCGTAAACAAAACTAGACTAGAGTCGGTGTATAATGAGTCACGCCAAGAGTGAAGCCAAGTCTACCTATTGAACTGTCAAACCGGCTACCTATCGTGCAAAGTAAACAAGCATTACGATGCTGTGAAAGGTCCACGAAAGGTATTGCAATTAAATATAAAATTTTATCGAAGAAATGATCATATACAAGCAGTGAGCATTACATTTGTCATGCGATACGTTTTGTAATGATCAGTAATGACAATATCTACTATTTTTCTTTAAGATAATTCGACAAAATCACTGATATAATGATTTACTACAGCCGTTAATTTTTTTCCTCGCTAGAAGTCATTTGAAGTTGATGCAGAAGTCCTCTGTTGCCAAGTTAAAAGAAAGGGAATCTTTCGAAAACCGTGATGCGAGTTCAACAGTTACTGTTTTTCTCTTGGCGTGACTCATTACACGGTGTTTCGCGAAAACCCATTAATGGGTATAAAAATACCCATTTCCGCTAAAAGTGCCCCTCCTCATTTAATGGGTAAACTATGGTTTCCTCATAAATGAGTAAATGGGTGGTCTGTCAATAAATGGGTGTTTTTTCACCCATTTTCTTATATTGTGTTTACCGTAAAATGGGTGAAAAAATACCCATTTTTACAAATGGAGGATGCAAGCGCTCGTTGATGTAAAAATGTTTTTAAAACATTGAAAATAAATGCAGGAGTTCCGCTCAAATTTTTCACAAAACATTATAATACAAATTATCCATTGTATTGACTTATCCGTAAGCCTCTCCAACGTTTTGGATTCTAGCATTTTCCGGAGATCGTTGCTGCGGACAGTAACTGTTTGCATCGAGGTTTGCATTCCCAATGAGCCGGTGACGGAAATGAGACGATAAAATTTCGAAGTGTTTTTTCACCCATTAATGGGTAAAAAATATACCCATTATTCAACCGTGAACTGATTCTCTAAATGGGTATTTTTTCACCCATTTTATGATTTCAAAATTCCCCCATTTTTTGACAGCTGCATACATGGTTTGAAAATGGGTATTTTTTTACCCATAAATGGGTTTTCACGAAACACCGTGTAGTTTTTTTTTGTTCTGTACACGCTAACTTGAAAGTGCCCACTAAATGAGTTTCTTGTACTCATTTTTTGAATTTATTCTGAAGTGTCAAAACATGGGTATTATAACACGCTAACTTTAAAGTATCCATTAATGAGTAATAAAATACCAATTTTGAAGAAAAGTGGCTTAACTCATTATATGAGTAAAACCAACATTACTCATTATTAAGTATTCAATGGATACGTCACTTAATGGGTATTTTTTTTACCCGGTATAATTTTTCTGAACTTGCGTAAAAAGTACCAATTTTATTGATTTGTTTTTGCTACATGGGGCTGCCTGTCAGAAAATAAACAACCTCTTGAAATCTTTGCAATTATAAACCGAAATCCGAGCCGAAATCATTGAAGCAAGTCAAATTTTTGTTATTGCCACATAATTATTGGAAAAAAATTATCCATTTAAATATAATTTCATCACCAGCATCTAAATCCATCTACTCACATCAATCTCCACCTTTCTGCAGGAAATCTTCAAAATCGTAATCAATCTTCTCTCTATCTATGAAGCATGCGTGCATCTCACAACAGCAAAACAAAATTTGTCCTGCATCTTAGATAGAGTCACCTCCTCGGGTATGATGCAATCGAGGCATTCCTCGAAGGATGTTTTCGTCATACAGCACAGTTCACTGCTGGAATCGATCCTTGAGGGATGTCGCTTATCGAGTGGGTCCAGATGTTTACAAATATAAACTTTGCTTCTCCCTTCACTGTTCTGAAACGGGTTATATTTTTGTAATGCCAACTGTAATCCTCATCATAATGGCACTTTTGATTCTTACCTCGTAAAAATTGGTATAGGACCATGCCTGGGAAAACTGTACTGTTGTACTTCTTGAATTTTGTATTCCGTCACAGTCAACATCAGCCGGATGGAATCTTTTGGTTCAATCACTCGCGTAATATTGTGAATTGAAATAATTTTGACCGATTTACAAAACACTTCACACGCAAAATCCACGGAAGTTCGATTCGCTCGCTTACTAAAAATGATCAGACATTTTGCATTTTCACTATCATGACATGACATCCATTCCATTCGCTCATTAATTTTACCCATTTTTATTGCATGTAGATACTTTCCAAAATGAATAAAAAGTACTCACTTTCCCTTTTATGATAATACCCATGTTTTGACACTTCAGAATAAATTCAAAAAATGAGTACAAGATACTCATTTAGTGGGCACTTTCAAGTTAGCGTGCATAAAAGGGAAAGCGAGTACTTTGATTAAAATTGCACTTGAAGCTCGCACCAATAATTTATGCAAGCTTCAAGGCCACTCGAACGCGCTCGAGGCATTGTTATTGTTTACGTCTGATGTTTTTGTTTTGATTTTGGTCGTGGTATGTCAACAAATCGGCCCGCTGGTAAACGTCAAAATAGGTAAACAGAAATAAACAGCTGACTCGAAACGTCTCGTAAAATGCCTTAGTGCAATTTAATCCATCTTTGAATTTATTAACATAGGGGAAATGCAGGTAATGTCGACCTAAGTGTTCCTAATTTGGGCCCATACTGGCCCATACATAAATTCAGCAATCGACTAAATTTTCAATAGCAACCAAAAATCCATTAGTAACGTCCCAATAACGCGTTCATCTAGATAAAATTGATAAATAGCAGATTTTTAGCGATGGGCCCAATCTTAGATCCATAGGCCAACATTAGAAACATTTCCCCTAAATTTGGCAACCCTGGATTTTCAGCATTATCAGAAATGTAATGGCATGTAACTAAAGCCCTACAGTAAAAATATGGACGTCTGTCAAAAGTTGTTCCAATCGAACCGTCAAAATGCACCGCTTTGCTCGATTGGAACCAAGGGGGGGAGGTGGCTGTCAAATACGAACAATCGTCGCCTACCTCGCATAACTGGTTCCAAACGTAAACAAGCCATAAGAAACCTATAGCGTTTGTTTACGTTTGGAACCAGTTTCATACAAGAATGATCAGTAGGCTGATTTGGCAGGACGCCCCCCCCCCCAGATTGGAACAGCTTTTTTCGGTTTTGTGGTGACAGTCGTCCATACTTTTACTGTAGAGCTTTCACGCTCGTCTGATTTTACTCTAAAGTGAGTAACTTTGACTCAGTTTCGTATATGTATGCTAAATGTCAAAAACTGAGTAACATTAATTTAACAAAGTGAGTAACATTTACTCTAATTAAATAAACATGGATCTTTACTGTTTTGAGTAAGATCAAATGTTATAATCGTCCGAAAATTATGAAGTCCTGGGCTGAAAGCGAATTCCCCGAGAAATTCCCACAAAGCGTTCAAAGAGTGAAAGTTTCAGCGTTCTGAAGAATCCCAAGCTCGATCCAAAGGAAAGTTCACTATGAGAGAGAGAATTGCAAGTAAGCTTTATGAGAAATATATTCAAAAAGAATTTAATTTTCAGAAAAAAAAAATGCTGAGAAACTGATTCGTAAGTTGTGCCAGAAAGCCGCTTAAGCGCTGTCCAGACTGAGCAGTTATAACATGTTATAACGGTTGTCAAATAATTGCAACACAGAAACCACCATCAAGATAGCGCTATAACATGTTATAACTCTGTAGTCTGAACGTACTATTAAACGCTGTCCAGACTGGAGAGTTATAACATGTTATAACGGTTGTCAAATAATTGCAACACAGAATCCACCATCAAGATAGCTCTATAACATGTTATAACTCTGTAGTCTGAACGTACTATTAGTCCATTTCGAGATGTTCAATGTGTTACATCCCTGCTTACTTCCCGGAATGGAAATAGTACCTGGAAATGATAATATGCTAGCTGCAGTGGCCTTCGGTAGAATCGCTTAATAAGCAGAATTATTATCAATTTGTTGATTAGAGTTTATAAAATTTCATTTTTTTAAATAATTCTGTTGTGACAAAATAAATCGTTTTTATTATGCTGCAAAAAAGTTTCGAACTAATAATTTCCTGTCAAAATATAATATTTACAAAACTGAGTAACCTTTACTCAGATGTGCTAATTTTGCGAAAACCAAAACTGAGTAAGTGCTACTCAGATTTTGACAAATTCATACAATACTCAAAAGTGAGTAAACATGGGGTTACTCACTTTAGAGTAGTTCACTTTTAACGAAAGTGAGTGGAATTTTACTCACTTTAGAGTAAATTTGAACGAGCGTGTTAGTAACTGGTGGTCGGCTCGCGCGCCAAATAACGTCAAAGTATTTTATTTACCAGCATTGAACGAGATTAAAATTTAATGTTTGCAAAAGTTTCGTTTTAATCGTGAGTTTCTATGCAATTTTCATTAATTATTATTGTGCCAGCATATCCATATTCGGTTAAGTAATATAAGACTCAATCAAGTAGTAGATCATGCACGCGTTCCTTAAAACAGGAAAAATTTCCGATTCTCCATCGAAAGCGGGCCATAGCGGCGAAGGACCTGTAGAAAAGCGCACCAAATCACATTCCGTCCCATGGGTTGAAAAATAGTAAGTTAATCTTGTTAATATTCTCCATTCTTGATGTTCAACCTTTTACCCTCTGCATTCCAGTCGCCCAAAATGTGTGGACGATGTCGTGGAACAAGGTGAAGTCGTGGCCGTACTAAGAGAAAGTTTGTCGACATCCGATCTTCCTAACTTGTTACTATATGGTCCACCAGGAACGGGTAAGACCAGTACCATTCTGGCAGCAGCTCGTCAGTTATTTGGAGATATGTTCAAAGAAAGAATTCTCGAACTTAATGCTTCCGACGATCGCGGTATTGCAGTCGTGCGAAACAAAGTCAAAACTTTCGCACAACTTGCAGCCAGTGGCACTAGAACTGATGGTAAACCATGTCCACCGTTTAAGATCGTTATTCTGGACGAAGCAGACGCGATGACCCACGCTGCTCAGG